CCGCCATAGAATATTTTGTAATTTGTGATCTGGGTGGATCAAAATCATTCTGTACATATTCCGAATATCTGACAAAAGAATGTATTTGAAAGTTCTAAATAAACATCAAAAAGCTCATTTTGAACTACCGCGCCATTGTAAAGAAAATCGTTTAAACATTTTTTATTTTTTGTTTTCATGCTCCCATCGAAAACAACACGTAACTTAGTCCTTTGCTTGTCTTCTCTAATTATGGGATGATGAGCCTTAAAATAAGTACAACCCCCATTTAAGTCACAAGATTCAAAATCAACAACCTTTCCATGGCCTAGCTGTAAAAATTCGTCAAAAAACTTTTTATAGGTTAAAAAAAGATCAGAGTTTACCCTGAAAAATCTTTCTAAGTTTTCTAATCTTTTCAGAGCAACAGAGAATGAGTCTCCCAGATTTAAGTTGAATAAATCGGTTTTTAGGGGTAATTTAACTTGAAATTTATTGTTAACAATCTCTATAGAATTTTGAAAAACAGATTCACATGCATCCTGATCAGTCGAATGTTCAGAAAATACTTTGGGGACTTTTTCATATTCCCAGAAGTTAGACATAGTCTTTTCCAAATTTTCACAAGCAACATGCATAGAAATAAGACTATCTTTTTTTGAAGGAGCTAGACCACTTACCCTAAACCCGAATGAGATGTTCAAAAAATAAATACCATTACTTTAAATTTTTTCAGAGCGAAATATTGTAAAAGCTATATCTGCGCTAAGTACGAAATCTACTTTTTTAGGAATATAAAAGTTCTCATCTGCAAGATCAATGCCATGAGGAATATTTATTTTCTGCAAATTCAGGCTTAATTGCGGTAAATCACTTGTGATCGTATTGACAACAGCGCATTTCATGCCTACAGAAAAATCAAAAATTTTGATTCTATTTCCAAATCAATAGCTCTTTGAGTTTTAGTTTTATTTTCTGTTACACCAACTAATTGCATAGAGTCTTGATATGTGTTTAGGTTTAACCTCCTAAGTTAAGTTACTAAGGAAACTGTGGAAGCAGTATCAACAAGTTCCCTAGCAAAGACATAATTACCATTTCTGGACCTTATTTTTACCACTACTGTTGGCAAAAGTACATTATTCTTCTGATGTATACCCAGAATTAAATAGGACAACTCTATTGTCCGGTGTGGCATTACTTTTAGAAGCCTCATAGACTGTCTTCATTTGCTTCTCAAGATGCAGCAACGAATTGTGATCCTTTTGGCAAGAATAACATTTCAAATTAAATTCACATTTACCTACCTAAATGTTTGTTTAGACATATTCTGCAAAATTTGTTTCTATCTACAAATTAAACTCTTTCACCAACCAAACATGACGGAAATTTTTTGCAATTATATAATTTATGACCTTCAATGGAGCAAAAAGGACATATAAAATCGTCTATTGTTTTAGTCAATACATGAGTGAAATTACCCTTTTCTTTATTAGATTAAGCTTCAGGAATGAAAGGACCCCGCAATATTTAAATGGAAATTGGTTACCCGTGATATTTGCATGTCAAATATTGGAATCTTATATCTAAAAGCAGAGTGACTATGGCAGATTTTGATGAATGAAGTATCGATGTCTACTAAGTCGACCAAGTTAAGTCGAAAAATGTTAACCATTTTGACACCTGTCAAAACCATTCCAAATGGCAACACTCATCTTCTCCCATTTTCAATAGTTTATGATGTCATTTGACATTTTCTACTTATATGTAAATTCTTAATTCAAAAATTGAAAAAAAAAATTACAGAACTGTCAAAACCTGTCATTTGTTTTAGTAGAAAAAAATACTCTAATCTGGTTCTTTTTTGTTTCAAGGTAGTTTATTAGTGATAAAACATTGAACAAAGTGCATGCATGTTACATTTTGACAACTGTCAGAATCTGTTAATAGCTTTTTGGCTCATTGAATTTGTGTGCTTAGTGGAAGTTCTACAACGGGCATAAAATTAGTTTAGTTCTATTATTATTGTATTATTGTATTATTCTATCATTCTAGTTGTAGAGCTTCACTAAGCAAACAAATTCAATATGAACCAAAAAGCTATTAACAGATTTTGAAAGTTGTCAAAATGTGACACGCATGAACTTTTTTTAATGTTTTATCACTAATAAACTACCTTGAAACAAAAAATAACCAGTTTAGAGTATTTTTTTCTACTAAAACAAATGACTGGTTTTGACAGTTCTGACATTTTTTTTTCAATTTTTGAATTAAGAATTTACATATAAGTTGAAAATGTCAAATGACATCATAAAATATTGAAAATGGGAGAAGATGAGTGCTGCCGTTTGGCATGGCTTTGACAGGTGTCAAAATGGTTAACATTTTTCGACTTAACTTGGTCGACTTAGTAGACATCGATACTTCGTTCATCAAAATCTGCCATAGTCACTCTGCTTTTGGATAAAAGATTCCAATATTTGACAGCTAACGGCGCCTCATCTGTCATATATACAGGGTTGTGCCCATGGTAAAAAATGTTGCTAATGGCATCCCCAATAACATATTTAAAATTCATCCAAATATCACGGGTAACCAATTTCCATTTAAATATTGCGGGGTCCTTTGCCTCTAAGGCTGTAGCTCTATTTTTAAGATACGACAAAAATTCGTTAAGAGATGGTAAGAGGGAGTTGTCTCTGTCTATCTGATAGGATCTGTTTGTAAACTGATCCACCTTTCTATTTAGAATACACACTAACAACATATCCCATTCCTTAACAGCTTGGTTGAGATTTTTTAGAGCCCCTATTTGCTGCTTTACTCTACTTATGAACTCCCTCAGTGAGGCAGCAGTACCCTTAGTAATGGGAGGTATATCGAGAATAGAATAAATGTGTGCATTAATTATTATGGTTTCATTATTATACCTATTGTTTGACCAAGGAAATGATCCATGATTCCCTACGAAGAACAAGTTATTGATGCATCCGATCAACTGTCTCATCTTCAGAGTGAAGAACAAGACATCGATCAACAGGTACAAGACGTCAAATGGACTCAAGTACGCCATCATCTAATTATAAGTAGCTCCATAGCTAATACTGGGAGTGACTGCAATGTTTCCAATATGGTTGTATTTGCAAATAGAGAAATCCAGTAGGCACAATACCCACACACCAGGACAAGCCTTGGCTGATCAAACGTTAACCTTAGAGCCGTTATGTTCAATAACATCAACTCCAACTCCACGCAATGAGAAGCCGAGGTCCCAGAAGCTGAGTGGCCAGAATGTCTAATTACAAATTGGCCATATTTTCTTCCAAATCTGAAACTTATGTATTATTTGTAAAAAATATATTAATTATTTTCTATTTACCAAGCTAGCCAAGCATTTTTAAAGTCATCGACATTACGAACAGTAGAAAGAAGAATTAGGTGCTCAGAGTGTAATCAGTCATTCTCTTCCACCTTTTCTAGTTACAAGACTTCTCACATCAAGGGAATGATTGTACAATAGGCCTAATTATGGCTATATACTACTACTGCCTTGGGGGAGAACCGCCAGGTCTTACCGATGGTACATGTACACTGTTCACAGGCGATATATACTTTCTGTATTCTCATAGTAATATGAGAATTCCAAGTTGATTTGCATTCGAGTGTCACTCCAAGATATTTAAACTTGTTTGTTAAATAATTATCAAAGACGGCATCTCATGTGTGTTTGGTTTGCAAGTCTCAATCTTTTTGCATCATTCAACTAGTTTTATCCAGCCAGTAAATTAGGCAATCGCTGGTATTAGTACTGATCCGTTTCATGGAAGTTTTGAATATATTTTTTAAGAAAAACGTATGCATATCATACGCTAGAAACGATTTAGACTGAAATGCAAGACCATGCATGCATGCTCAAAGATAAGATTGGACTCAGTGAATCGAGAAATTTGCTAACCATGGAATATATTAGACCGGATTAGACTTCTTTTGTTTAAGATATTTCTTTTTTCGAAAAACTTTTAAATTAAAAACTAGTTCTTTGTCCAAAAACTTATCTCAAACTTTTTCCTGATGCGGGCTTGTTAAATATTATTTCCAAAAAATCTTTTTAAAGACAAATAACTCCATAATTGTGGAAATAATCTCGTCAGCTCTTGACTTAATGAATTGAAGTTTAATTAGAAAAGCCACTGGACTTAGGATTAAAATAAAAACTTCTATTTTATTGAATTACTTTTGAGTGCAGTTGCCTCGAATATTCAAACGAGGGGTGACTTTCGATTCGGGATAAAATAACCCAATAAAAATAAATCCTAGTATTCCGGAGCCGATGTGAAATAAATCAATCACTTCTGGTTGCGCACTTATAAAAATTTAAAGCCAATTCCGTTTCAAAATGTCTGAAAATTTTCCAATAAGAGGCTGCAAGTCTAAAAATTGGGAAAATGTTTTATTCATTGCATTGCTGGAAATTTAATCTTCGAAGATTTGATTTACATTAACAAAATTAGCCTAAGGGCTTGAACTCGAAGGGACTCGAAATGTTTCGTTTCAAGATTTGTAATGAATGTTAAATAATAAACTTCAGAAAAAAAGCTTCTACAAATGAAGACGTAATAGGCAAAATAGAAAACTCAACTCACAATAATTGCGGTTTAAAAAAACTGTCTCAAATATATTTTACATAGAAAAATGGAATTTCTTATATATTCTCGGATACGCGAATAAATTTCATGAAAGTTCAGGAACGATACCTTTCAGTTACGTACATATAAAAACACACATAACATTTTTCTCGTTTTGAGACAGAAAATTCGGAATATTTCCGGCTGCCGCCCTCAAGCTTCAAGAAAAATGATTGAAAGTATTCGCTCTCTAACGTATGACCTAAAAGAATATGAAAAATGTTTTTTGCCTGGCTACAATCCCTCTATTCAGAGAAAAAAAAAATAAGGAATTTATTGCACGACTTTTGAGGGATTTTATCTTGAATTACTAAATTTTTTGTGTTTGTATTTCAGAGATCCGGCAGCGTGAGAGGAGAAGACTTGCCTTATATCCTAGGACTACCTCTGATTGGTGGGGGGCCATTTTTTCCACACAACTATAGCCATAGTGACATAGCAGTATCAAAGAACCTTATACAGTATATCAGTAATTTTATTAACACTGGGTGAGTAGAATTTTTTAAATACTTCTAAACCAAATCACCAACTATTGGTTTTACTTCTACAAGAAAATTTAATTCAGTAAATCTCTACTCTAAGTACATACTTGCATTTGAAAGTTTTCCAAACAACAAAGTATTTCCAAAAACCATCAAATGCAGTTTAAAGTTTGCTTTTATGTAAACTACTCGACTTTACGTATAAAACAGACGTTTTCTTTTATGAAAATTAGGTATCGGTAAAGTATTTTATATTCTATATAAAAGTGGATTTCTTCTTGATTTCATTCCATCATTTATTTTGATTCAAAAAAAAAAAATCAATTAAATAATTTAATACAAAATGGGCATCACATGAAATAAATTTCTCTTTCGGCTTTCCTCTCAAAGTCAAGCAAGTTTAATTTTAAATAAATTGCAATTTTAAAAAGTTTCCAAGAGGCAAAACTCCCCCTTTCTCTCTCACTGGGTAGAATTTGTTTTTCATCACAGAAACAAATTAGTCGGAGAGAGATTTGCGCAGGAGGAAACCAAGTGTAAATATTATTTAACGAAGAAATGGGATTAATCTCAAAACTTTGCCAAGTTACAAGTAAACAACAAACAAAGAAATAACTGTAGTAGTTGCTTTGGCGGTTTTTATTTGGCTGCAGCTATATGGCAGTGGCCTCTGGTAAATTGGAACAAATATTTTTAGTTTGGAGGTTGTAGTTTTTAATGGGATTTATCTAGAAAATTAACGACCCACCGAAGAATCCCTAGTGAATTTGCTCAAACTCGAGACGGAATGTTTCAGGGTTTAATGCGTCAATCATATTAAAGTTATGGGCGCTATTAAACAACAAGTTGGTGCTCTATCTTGAATTCAAGTATAAATGGGTGGACGTTAAGTGGCGAGAGTTGATTGATTTTCTGCTTAATTGTACCGACCTGATTACAATTTTCTCAAAATGATACCTGCATGAAAAATTTAATTGAGCAATCGTGAAGAAAATCTATATTTTCTTTTGTACCTACATAATTTTAGAAAATTTCAAGTATTGGCTATCAAATACTTCACATAATTCAGCTTTGTACTTTGATATTAACATACGTTCCCAAATTTATTTTAAGCATTCTAGCTGTCCGCCCAAGTACTCTATTAATTAGTTAGATGGTAAATGGCGAGCGGTTTTATTGATGGTGTTTATGTCCGGGATAGCTACAAATGAAATTATAAAGAGAGTCTATTTGCAAATGAGAGAAACAACTGCAGTAAGGTTTTCATACATATACTTTCATTATATAAAATAAACAGAACCAAAAAGAAAATGTATTTAAATTAAAATTCTAAATTTTCCAAGCAAAACCTAAAATTTTTGCGTAGAAACCGAAATTCGTATACAGAGTAATTCCGAAACCGTTCTGGGACGGTTTTTTGATGGGTAAGAACAAACCTTATACGTTCACCTAAAATCTTCTCCCGCTGTTTCTAAGAAATATAATTATTTGTGTAAACTAATTTTAATCAAACTCCAACACGTCTACAATAAGGGCGTATATTTCAGCTACCTCGCCCAAAAATATTCGTAATCATCTAATCCGATCCTATTCTATTATATACAAAAACAACAAAACAAGGAAAAGGTATTATGAACACTTCCAAGGGTACTTTCAAGCACGTGAAGGAATGCTGGTGAAAAGAAAGAAGACTTCCCTTCCAGGTACTTTACCTGAAGGCGTTTTATTATACATGCAACCAAGACAGGCTCATATGTATTTTTTGATATAGTTCCGCATTAATGGAAACCAGTACCACTTTGCCACTGCCTCTAGTGTTTTATCCACAGCCAAATGTCCTTCTGCATCATGATAATACCAAAGTATATTCCTCCTGGATGAATTAGGAATCATCCATCACAAACCAAGTGGCGTTTTTCGATAAACTCTATTATTTTTTAAAAAATATTCTTTGTGTACACGTCTGTCATTTTTATCAACTGGAACACGTAACAATATTTGATGTATTTCCTTGCAGCCTTTGTCATTTAACTGCGCGGCTAACACCCAATCAAAGTCAGGCACATTGACATGTAGAATATCAACTTCTACTGTTTCATCAAACTCGGTAGGCAGCGGATTTCTGCTAAGTGCATCCACATGAGCAATCTTTGATCCTGGCCTATATTTGATAGTGAAATTAAATTCCTGGTGTAATAAGCAACCATCGACCTATTCGTACAATTAAATCACGCTTAGTCAACGTAATCCTAAGGGCGTTATAATCAGTGACTACTTTGAATTCAATCCCTATCAGATACATAAGAAAATTCTCCATATTATAAACATCAGCTAGGGTCTCAAATTCGTATGAGTGGTAGAGCTTTTCTTGGTTTGTGGTAGAGCGACTGTACAGGCTCCGATTCTCCATTTATTTGGCGTTGTAGTATAATCCCACCAATATCAAGCTTACTAGCGTCAGAGTGAAACTCTTTTAGAACGTTTTCTAAATTCGTGAATAATTTTTTTTCCTCTGATGACGGTATTAAAATATCATTCAAATACCCCATAGCTGTAGTATTACGTAAAGAACCTAGAATTTTGTGAATTGCTCTCTGAAAGACTGCAGGCGCATTTACAAGACCAAATGGCATAGTTACATACTCGCAATAGCCATCGGAGTTATGAAAGCTGTCTTTTCGATAGAATTCGAGGCAACTGGCACCTGATGATATCCAGAAGCAAGATCTAAACTTATAAAGTATCGAGCACCTTTGAGCCCATCCAGTAAATCATCAATGCACGGCTTAATAGTTTTAGCGTTCAAAGCACGATAATCTACGCACATACGCGATTTGCCGTTCTTTTTGCAGATCAATAAAATTGGACTGGCATAAGGAGAAGGTGATTCCCTGATTATATTATTGTCAAGTAATTTTCGGAATATGTCTCTTAACTTTTTCCCGCTCAGCGAAGGCTAAACGATATGGTCGATAAGTAACAGGTGTTTTGTCATTCAAATCTCAAAGATCAGACATACTTGTAGCAAAACAGTCCCTGTATTTCTTAAGCAAAGAAAGAAGTTAAATTTTTGTGCTTGTATCAATGTCAGTCCTAACAACATTTTCTAAATCTTCTAAAGAAAAATATTTCATAGATGCTTGATATATGGAACAAACATTTATTTCATCAAAATCACTTTAAGGATTACACAATAACCCTCGTGCTACTACTCGATATTTTTCATAACAAACTGGTTATTCTGATGTGTTTAAAATGGGCATTAAACCACTCTTCGACAGATCGGAGATGCTACGAGGTTTCACATGAAACTGATAAGGCCACGGCTTCTGTTGCAAATTAATAAATACCTCTTTGACATTTTCACTGGAATATAAGGAAATGTGAGCGATATGGTTGGGTGGTATGACAGTAGTCTCCTTCGCCCATAAAATAATTTTACGAGGAGACAAATTATCAATTTCTGGAAGTGGCATATAATTCGAATTAAAAAGTCTGATCTGACCTCCACGTGTCACCATGCTTATATTTGGGTGATTAATATGTAAAAGGCTGGCCAACAACAACAACTACTTTTGCTGTAGGTAGATCAACCGTTAGATCAATGACAACTTTATGGTTTACATTGAAGAACCTCCTGCAAATCCGCTCAGACGTTCTGTACAGGATGTAGTTGTAACCCTAAAGCTTTGTCTTCAGATGCACGTTGTTACGTACAAATTTTGCCTTAGTACGTAACCGGAATTTCGAATGAATTCAGTAAATAATTCAGGTATTTGTGAGGGTATTTATGAAATTCTATACCTGAGGTTTAATATTTTTCGGTTATTGATAGGTTTCACATTGAGTTCTACTGGTTTTCTGCCTTTTTGTTTTAATGCGAAACAATATGTGGGTGTTGAACAAAGGTATATTTTTCGCGGTAATACTGAGTTAATTCTTTGTATTCGGATGATAGGGTAGTTTTAGGATAATAAACCCCTACTAGTAGGATCGAAATCTATTTTATTTAGCTTACGAAAGTTGTCTGAAAAGCCCCAACTGTTAATGATAATGTTTGTTTACTTCCTAATTATTATCAATTGTCAACACTTACGAGTCTCCTATTTTCCAGTATTAAAAATTCCGCAACATCACTGATCACTTTCACACCTTTTAAATCGCCAAGGTTTCTTGACCATTGTTGCTATCGCGTTATTATAACGCTGCTATCTCTGAACAAGTGGTTATTTTGATGGTTTTTAGACTTTAGACTAAAGACTGGGTAGATGATGATTATTAATTAATTAATTAGTGTTGGGGGACAAAATTAGATAACAACTTTGAGTTTGGTTTGTCATCGATATGGTTTGGGTTGTTCATTTTAAGCTGATTGTCTCGTTTTCCTGGTCAAGACCGGAAATCTGGCACCTTAGGGCATCTTGAAACACATAGAATTCTGTGAAATTTCTTATATGCGCTCACCTGGTAAATTGCCAAAACCGGGTCGTTCTCTTTAAATTCGCACGTTGAGCAAGCAACAAGTTGCTGGCAGATTTTACCGGCGGTCCTCTTTGCTGCGTTACTTGGAACATCCACCTTTTGTGAGATTTTAGAGCCGTTGGGAACTCAAGTGGTAGCTGGCTTATTTCGTTTTGGAGTGAAAACTTGGATTTGGTCGTAGGTCCTCGTATTTTTGAGCCAACCACTCAGCATTTTCTGGAGACGAAAATCTACGCCATTTTGTTGAATTGTCGATGCGACTAATGAACACGTTTTGTTCAACTAAGAGCCCGAATTGTAACCAGGGTCTTAGGTTTTATTTTACCATTGGGTTTTTCCCTTTCGACGGTTTGCTAGTCTCGAAGTTGGGGTGTCAGAGTACCCACAACACTAAATCTGAAACCGAAATTTACCCTTTTTAAGAAGGGTAGTCAAGAAGTTGATAGGGCCTGTTATCAGGGCTGTGAAGCTGTCATGAAGCAGTAATGGAAACGGATGTTTAGACTGCAGGGAGGACCACAAGG